CGCAAATTGGGCGGAGTGCCAGCCTCTGATAAGAGCCACACGAACCCAACCATACAAAACCTCAAATGACCCCAAAAGAACATGATCTCAAGAATGGATGCAGTAGACCGGTCACAGGGACGGAAGAACAGAAGGCAGATGATCAACTGCGCACGATCATGATGAAGGTGAGGAAAAGTGAGATGATGACTAAGGTGGCCGGCGGAGTGGTTGGGTGGCGCTCTCTAGGCGGAGGTGGAGTTAGCCTTCCTACGCAATGCAGCTCGAGGACTGCCGCAGGCGGTGGGCGGCCTAGAGGGGAGCCAGGTCTTGGCCCACCACTGTACCAACTGTGAGAGACACGGCAGAGAGGGATGCTGCGGGACTACCGTGGTGCTCCCCCTGCTCACTTCGGCATCTTCCGTCGCAAGAGTGGCCTCCCCGTTGTTTTGTGTCAGGGGGGCCGCTCCTTCCGCCTCATCTGCCTCTGTCTGCTCGACGTCTTCTCCCACTTCGTCATCGCCTAAGCCGCTCTCCTGAACTCGCAAAATGGCTTTCAGTAGATCCGTTGTGCCCTACAATAGAGTTTGAAATTAGGCTGTAAGGCTTAACATTGATTGATGAAATGCAGTTCCTACCACTCTGTGGTAGTTCGATCAAACAGATGCGAAATTTGCAGACCTTTGAAACGCCAAAATTACCCAGTCGTGTGGCGGAGGGAGCACGACTTCCATTCAGATCAATTGCGGCCCATCGAAAGTACGTGCCCTGAAATCCACTTATCATACACATTCATTGGTTGTCAAATCTAGCTCCTATCATCACATTACTCCTACACGTTAGTAATCCTATCAAAGAGTCCGTTCACGAAGTGGACTTTGGAGGGCAGAAGAGCCCAAAAGATCCAAACGGCCAAGATATGACACAATGAATCAGTTGTCTGGAATAGTATAAGAACATTGTCGGTGCTGATTGTTTTCTTTGGAAAAAGGCATTCTTACAGTGATGGCACGGAGGAAATCAGTATATCCCTTTGACAGAGCCGCATCCGATCAAAAAAATGCTGTAAACAGCCCTATGATGAATTACCCTGCTATGGGCTAACGGAATAATTCACCCTCGTGCGGACTTCATCTGATTACCAATTCTTTTGATAGTTGAAATAATTTTATGAGAAAGAGAAAAGACGGCGTTTATTATTTGAAGTTTGTGATTCCGTCGTAGTGAAGTCTGAGCGAATTAAATTTGAATTCTCGTAGGATTGCTGTGGGAGGTATATAAGTATGATGAAAGAGAGATTGAGGTAGAGGCTAAGATTCGATTGGCCACACAATCCTGAGATGTGCATCAAGCTTGATTTCAGGCACAGAAGGTGTTGTAAGGTCCCAACTCGATCTACGACACTGAACAATATGTCGCCGATCTGCAGCACCAATGTAGGGAACTCACTGGTGGTACAAATCTCCATAAGTCACACGATTTCAGTGCATGCCGACTCACTTGTGGATCAATTGCCCAGGTGTGATCAACTGCGTTGCCCTCCGTTTGCAGTCTCCACAACGCCAGCAGAATCAAGTCATCGGAGTACCCAAGAACGCGAGCATTCTGGACTGGCCAACAGTCGGTACCACTGTTGTCGCCCCCGCTCCCACCAACGGCCATTTCACGTGCGATTACCGTCAACCGCTCGATCATAGTGGCAGCAACGACAGTGTCGGAGCGAGGAGGAGATGTGGTGAGGTGTTTGCGAGCAAGTGGCAACACTGAGGTGAGGAGGCGGCGAGTCGTAAGGAAGAGACAGCTGCCACCATCACCTGCAGCGAATCGCGCGTGCACCGCCTCAGCATCGACGTCGCAAGGTTGCCAGTCGCGCAACCCGAGGAAGCAGGCACCACACACTGTCTCGTCCGCACGGCCGGTGTGAAAGAAGCCCGCGCTCGCCAGTTCCACTGGAGAGGGCCTCTGTGGGGAGTTAGCAGACTCCATTGTCGCCTCCGCACCGAAGGACGCCAGACACTGGCGGTGAGTAGCAAAGCGCGGCGCATGGGCGTACTTTTGCACGAGGCAGGCTGCAAGTAGAAGAATAGGACAAGTCGGTGTAAGCGGCGTGTGCGTTTACGTTCTGTTCAGGACGGTCAAATCCCATTAAGCACCCAGTTTGTAGCGACTTTCACGTCCGAATTTCACCGTTCCTAAAAGGCGTATCCTTGAGGTAAATACAGACCCGATTCAGGAGGGAAGTGGGAATGCGCATTTATAAGTAGAGCAGGATGTATTGAATATACTGAGCTTCTGCCAGGACCTGGTGGCAATTGACTCACCTATCGTGTCAGTGAATCACCACCATATCGGCAGCAGATCGGCCAGTATTAGGCTATATGCCATCCTTTGAAGGAGTTTCTAGGACTATACCACCGAACCAAACCAAACAGCGAAAACTAGAGCAGGAAGAAACAAAGTCCCCTCCTAAAGCAAAAGCAATTTCCCGTTGTTTAAAGTATGGAGGTAAGCAGACGCAAACCGCCCACTTCACAGTGTGATAAAAATGGCAAACGAGAATGTCCGACTAAAGCACTGACATTGGTAACCAAAAGGGAAGGCATTACAAAAAAAGGAGGGTCTAGAGATCCACAGTCACTGAGCAGTCATACTGCTTCGGCTACTGCTTGAAAATATTGGCATGAACAGCCGTCAAATGTGGAGTTGACGTACCCAGTGCAATTGCAGCAGTGGCGCAGGTCAATTCCTCCTCCTTTTGTACAGTCACCAGGAAGACATCCCTTAAAGCAGATTGGAAAGCTGTGAACATTTTGAAAGTCGCCGCAAGACGAGCAAGGACCACTACCGCCAGCCACGGGGAACCTACGGATAAAGTGGAGGGTGGTCTCGCAACAGCCACAAGCCATCACGTGACACACGCAGTGTCGACTTGCCAGCCAATCAACTTTGTCTCGCCATGCTATTGGCTAGCAGTCAGATGGTTGTAAGCGGTGGCGCTTTTCCATTGGGCGGTGGTGTTGGCGACATGCCAACTCGGTGTGTATATCCCCGTTAGGGAATGGTGTGAAGCGTTGCTTTCAAAATCGCCTTAGGATGATAGATGGGGGTTTTGAAAACGAGTGAATAGACTGAAACACATTTGGGACTTGTGGCCCCACTCAAGTATCATATTAAGAAGCGTTTTTTCTTTTACAATGACCCTTTATTTACACTTAGGTCACCGTAAAGTTTGCTACACGAATATCAAATTTCTAGGCACTGATTACTTTTTGAGGACCTTAATCAAAGAGAAACTGAAATTTCCAGGAAAACGACAGTTTTAAATACAGTGGATGGGGTATAAGTCAACGGAGGGAGACATTTCAGAAATCTTGAGTTCACGGACTTGGGTAAATGATAGCAAAACCTGCTGGCCCGGAAAGCTAGTATTGGATGCCACCGCGTATTTTTGTTCAAGTTTTCTAGGAAACATTGAACTCATGGGTCGAGTAAGCGAAGCCTTTCTCCCCGTGAACTACCAATCAAATCAGCTAAGGGAAACCGAAATGTCAGGTCAGGGCGATATTGTGCAGTTTATCCTCCCCTTGAAAAGCAGCATTAAACATTGTCAACGCCAATAAAGTTCTAGAATGCGATCTATCACTGAGTTACGGCAAAGGGTACACTAGGATTTACCCCTATTTCCTCCCCGCTTGATTTTATGGATTCCCAACTCCCTTCCATCATCGCCTCACAGTTTGACAGACCAACTTAATTTGCAAAAGCTCAAATCCCACTGAGATGTTTGTGTAAGACAGTTTTGAAATAAGTTACCACTGTAATGCTCAATAGTGGTTTCTTTCGTTGTAGGCGATACCGTAGCTTTTATTCTAACGATTTTGGAGTCTATTTAACCTGGGATAAACCTCATTTTATCTTAGGTGCGTGTGCATGATAATTCTTTCTACAGTGTGCGGTATCCACGGATTCAGTGGCTTCAATTCCACTTTCCAAGATGTATGCGTTTAAGAAGGAAACTAATCCTGCCATCTACGGCACATAAAGCTATACAGCATCATTTCCCCTCATTGAACTGCTTTTGAGCTGAATGTACTCCTACACGACAGCTTCCCTTTCTTTCTATCTAAGCATTAGGAATTCTTTAAGTTGATTTAACTTTTTTTCCACTCCAATTCACAATTCATGACTCAGGAAATCAGTACATTGTATTAACTTTGCAAACAAAATTTGCTTGGTTGAAATATAAGTCCGGACGCACTTCATATCTGGGCATTTGTCTTCAAATGCGAAATGCAATCCGACGGCAATTCGTATAGCAAAAAATGATCATAAAAACTCGGGATCGTGATATTCACTAGTTCGCTTCAAATTGTATTTTTATTTAGCTTTGCAAAAGGCAGAAAGGATGCAGAACAAGTTCGATAAATCCCATTATGGCGGTCAAAATGATGATAAAATCTAGACTGGGTAGAGGCATTGACATACATTTTAGGCATGTCAAAAGAATGGAATCAAACTGGTATCAGCAAGCTGGTAGATTGCCTGAAAAACTTCCGTGACGTGCCAACACTTCCCCAAAGACGAAAGATGACGTATTGCTCGGACAGAGTATGTATTGGCGACGTAGAGAAGGGCTTAGACGCACTGGCATGCCCAAAGGCCTGGTCGCCCCACTGAGATGCAATGGCGGAGCCCCTAAGTGGTCCGTTACCAAAACCGAAAGCTAACGTATTATCTAAGCACTTCTCCTCTTTTCAGCACCATTCCTTGCACTCTCCTCAGTCAACCTTCTGCCTCCGTCATCACAACATTGTCGGTGCTCCCGTTCGGAAACTGCATTGAGGGACGGGGAAGTGCGTTTGCCATCGCACGTGTCCAAAGCTAGCCGTAGGAGCAATGACCTCAAAGCAGAGTCATTTAATGCAGGATTGGGTTTAAAATTGTATCTTTGGGACAAGGTTTCGTGTCTCTTCCTCCTTGTCACTTTGTTCTCATTTCAATGCTGCCCAACCATATCTATCTGGGTTCTCTCCTAGCAGTAGAGAGGCGGAGGCGGTACCACCTGTTCACTTAGTCGACTTTTTCATACTGGTACCATATACAGCTCCGTAAAGTGATTTTCTGGATGGTTCACGGTTTGTGTTGCTCTAGCTGTTAATATTATTCCAACATAGTACGGTACTGGAGTAGTTGTAGAGGGTGGACAACATCTTCCGCTCTTTTGTTAGGGGAGGTCACAGATTCGCCCATCCGCTGCGTATGCAATCCTTCCATCACGTTAATGTTTGGCATTCAGTAGTAAAAGACGGGTTTGTTGAGAAGATAGTGCCATTAGTTTCAAGTAGATTTAACATCAGACTTTACTTAGACCAAATAAGATGGAAGCATTGCGCCAAACCTTGTGGTTGAAATGATACTTCTCGAACAAATCATCAAAAACCAAAAATTTTACGACTTATAGTCACTTAAAAATCTTTTGAAGCGCAGCAACTCTGATTTAATGAAAATTCTGACTTGTTGTTTAGCAGTACATCAACAATGCTTTACTTTGATTGCATATTCTCCCCAAGTAGGATGTCTTCTTTCATTTTCAAGGAAGGCTTGGGGGGTGGGGCATACTATTGGAAACGAACAGCAAACTCGATCCTAATGGACAACTACCCTGATTTTGACCATTGAATAACAAACCTTAGCGTAATGAAAGAAGTGCATTTGCTGGGGATGGGAGAACCTGTGACAACTCCCAACAAAATGATTGAAAATAACGTCTCTCTTCGGCAACTAACCCAGTTCAGTGTTCTGCAGGAATGGTATTAACAACTAAAGCGACACCACCCATGAACCACCTAGAAAAGTCTGTTACAGAGCTTTTTACGGTGCCTGTATGAAGACGTCAATGAAGTGAACACACGATACCCCTCCACCTCTTCACTAGCTGGATAAAAGGCTGATAGACATGTCTAGGCAGTACTGAAATGAGAAAAAAAGTGGCCAGGAGGAATAGAAGCAAAACCCTATCCCCACGAAAACATTTTAAATCCCGCCCTTTATTAAATGGGGCTACTTTTGGACCAGTGTTCCCACGACTAGCGATGGATGTGGATAATGGCCTGCACATTCTCCCTTCCCCCAATGCCTTTTCGAACAGGATGGGACCGCAGATTCAGTAAAGTTGCCAAAAAGGGCTAGCGACGTTGGGGTTAAGTATCAACTTGGTTGCATACAAATTGGATGACTAACACTGTTGATTCGTGGGTGTGTTTCCCTAGGACGCCGACTGCGTTGTAAGGGCTAATGCTGGAGGCCTATGTGACAACATAATCGTATAGACTGCCCAAGTAGAGTATGCCATTTTTTGTCTTCAGGGAAGTCACGAGGGGCCACGAAAATGTTTGTAATGTCCGTATCAGTTGTGCTTGCAAAATGCAGGGGATGGCAATTGCAATTGTCCCAAATGCCTCAAAAGGGTTTTTTAAAATTGTAATCACGCTGATGGACAGTGCCAAGTCGGAAACGTTAAAAACATTTTCAAGTGATGGGGCGTCATTTTTAGAAAAACTGAACAAGCCCACTACCTTAACAACTACTAAAATTCAACTGCCACCAAAGTTCCCGACACATTTGGGCAACATCGTTTAAACTATAGTTCAACTTCATTCGTCAAAGGTCCGCTTATTCTTTCAGGATGTTAGGAACCCATTTTGGATTATATTTTTTCAAGCAAACTACTAAATGTCAATTTGCCTTGTGATTAGATGCATTTTAAAAGGTATTTAGCATAACTATAAACCCAGGCTCTACTACTTCTCCGGCAAGCCCATTCATTGCATCAAAGTGGCCCTCATTGACATTGATTGTGCAGTTATTACGCAAGCAGAATAGTTCTTGCGATTTTCGGTTTAGCCTGCTGCAACGGCATATTGTCCATTGGAAGCACGGATGCAGAGAAGTCTATCAGTACCCTTCACTGTGCTCTACACGTTATTTCCGCCAAACTTTGCCTCTCATTTCATAAAATGTAGATAGAACGAAATGAGAACGATTGTAGGCCGCATTTTTTACCAACGCGAGTCTAAGTCAGTGCCAGAGCTGCAAAGGCTTCTCGCAAAATGCGTTCTTTAGCATTTGCAGAAGGCGCGACAAGCAGTGGTAGAAGGGTACCGGTTGAAAATGGTTTCGGCAAAGTGTTGTGTCTCACAATGCCGGGATTCGAGCCCATCGGTTCGCGTGCCTGTGTATGGAATTAATCACTCCAAGACGGATGAATCACGTCCATAAAAGACTCCAGCCCTGATGTGTATTATGAGTGATGGAGCAGATCGCTTACACCCACGTCAACAAAGGCAGTCTCGGAAACTGAGCCAATGGATGCCGCATGTCATGCATTAGCAGATGACAAGCAGTGGAATTGAAAGACCATCACCTTATTCTGCATTTCTTTGAAGTGATTTCTAAAGCGCTCGCCATATTTTGTCTGTTTGTCAACAGATTTACATTGAGAAGTGGGTTTTGGTTTTCAACGTCAAGTAAACGCATATGTCGATTGTCATTCTCAAGTAAACGATCACATTAACCCTGAAATAGTATGCCCTCTTTTTGCATGAAGGACTGCAGATGGAATTACTAATCACGATTCACTGGGGTTCAAATAAGCAAGCCTAAGACAACATCAATTTGATGTGCTTCGAAGGTGGGAAAAAAACGTCGACTTTGGGGAAATTCAGGAAAGAAAGTCTTGACGAGGACGTAGCACTGTAATACCTCGTTCCAAAACGCAGGCCTGCGAAGATTTGCATTTGAGGATAGGAAGGAGAAACTGTCTCACCCTATCCCCTGATGCTTCACCAACCGCTATTTAATCTTTTTCTTGGCATAGACAGCTGGGCAAGAAAAGTGATAAAAGCAAAGACGACTTGACCCCTGGCGGCAAAACTGTGCATAAAAGTGGAATTCGCTAGATACTGTGTAGCTCAAAAAGGCTTCCAAAAAATGAGGTATAGTGGTGGGTACTTCAACTAGTAAAGTACGTTTGGACGCTTTCATCATAAAAACTGCATGATATTGTTTGGTTCCCTCATATAAGAACAAGATCCTTGACCACGAATTCGCCGAAAAAAAGGTTTAACCGTAGGTGTTTGCATGGTCTGAAGCAGGAAGAGTGTGAGGCTAGAAACGGCACTGATCGCCTAAGAGGACGCAGCGAATTGTCAAAAGACGCCATTCCAACAGCGACAACACCCCTCTGGCGCAATCAACGGTTAAAAGGAGATCACCATCAACTGAGCGCGTCCAAGTGGCTCTGAGTTGACGGAACGCATGTGCAATGAGCAAATTTGGATGAAACTCCGGGCTCAGAGTTGAATGCGCATTTGACACGCTATCGGGATCCTCACAAAATAAGAGACGGGACCAAGGAGCAATTTCTGTTTCACTCACTTCATATGGCATTCAGTGTTTATCAAGTTCAGTGCACGATCTTGAGGGCGCTACGCCAACCGTGAAAAGCGTTATCGCATGTTTACGTAAACAAACAGCCAGTGGGGCAAGAAAAACACCTTCGTTTATTAGTTCTAATCTATTCACTACGACCATCAGACCTGAAAGGAACTAATTTTGACCAGCTTAACCAGTAAACAAGAGAGCAGAAATGGAGAAATAAAACTGGACAAGTTCCAACCATGTGGTGCGATTCTCTTGACACCAGTTAGTCAAAAACACTGTGCAATAGCTTGAATTCAAATTCGCACTTTTTGACGCATGTTGAAGGCACTGAATAAGAGCTATCCCACGCGTACCGACACCTGATGTCAAAAGCAAAGTTTTACCATGAGCAGCGCTTGCCCACCGACTGAAAGCCAGGACCGTAAATCTGCCTGTCAAACCATCATCCAGTGTTTGTTAATGACGCAAATGGAAGAAGGAACGCGATGACCTCAACGTGATATCATGCAGCAACTACTTTCGAGCCACTGAGAGATTTTGTAAAAGAAAGAACACCTCCCAGCCTCCCGTGGTTCAGCTTGGTGAGATGTACCATCTGGTCGAACACTTGATTGCCACTTAAACATGCAATCTTCCGGAGCTATTAGCTTGGGAAGTTTACTGAGAGATAATCGTCGCCTTTAACCTGTGGAAGAGGCGGTCGTGGCGTACCATGGCCAGACCCCAAACGCAGCAAGCAAGCCAAACTCGGTTTTTATGACTGCACTCACTGTTCAAGGCAGAGTGGAAATAGGATAAAGTAACGGACCATCAGGGATTGAAGCGCAGGAAAAACGAAAGGCTCGATAACCCAAACTCCCAGCGTTAGAAATTGCGAATATACTTCCAAGTGCCAATTTCGATGGATTGAAAGCCTCAAGACAGCACAATTATTAAGCGGAGACAACTAGAATCGGTTTTTTTTCACCAGTTGTTGCAGTTTCAGCAGCTTCACTCCTATAGCGGCACTCTTGACAAGCTTAACGTCCGAAGATTGCCACACACGCGATTTGTTGAGAGCAAGAAGGAGTGACGGATGACAAAATATAATTGACTACTAACCACCATTGCCAGTGTAAAAAGGTCAAAAAATCCTCAAAGCATGCAAGATGTGATAAAAAATACTAAATAGTGAACAGTTAAAGAGCTCCGTGGTTGGTAAAAGCCGCAGGCCAAAGGGAAAGATCCACTCCAATAAGGCTCTCAAAAGGGCAAGTTCACTACAAAAATAACACAGAAATAGTTGATATGAAAGACATGTTCTCAGGGTAAATTCAGCATGTTAACTTCCGCATAGATGTCTTGAGTGAGTTGGTAGACCCTTCGAAAAGTAGGCAATGCGACCCCAACCAGGTAGTCCCGACAGGACGCCTCGTCTTTCAAATCTCCGCCCGCCGGTTGATTGGCTACGAGGGTGGCAACAAAAGTGTGGCGATACGGCAGCGCAAGGAACGCCACTGCAACCGCTTTTCGCACCACCCAGGGATGGTGATTTGCCAGGCTTTCGTCATACGCCGACTTCGCCAGCTCCGACAGCGTCAACTCCGGTGGATCTGAGGGATATACACATACAGTGCATTGATAATTGAATTATGTGGAATTTTCTGGGCTCCAGCGATTCGGCTATGCTCATTATGATATCTCAAACTTTCAACTCATTTCAATAAGAGTTGCTTCCAGGCCATTTAAACCTGCTTTGATTAATGTAGACGCAGTGATTGTCTAAATGTGTTCTTTTATCAAGACGGACTTTTGCAGCTTCACTGACACTCCCACTATAAGACCAGACGTGCTGAAGCAATATGCACTGAGTCAAGAAAAAAAACCCGAAAGACATCAGGCTGCGATACATAAGAAGTAGTGTTTGTGCCCTTAAGTGTACATTTAACCATGCGAACGTTTTCAGCCTCCCGAAATTTGCCTACGCAACTAGTGTCCTAGTCCTTATTTTTCAGACTGACACCTCAAATCTGACTCAAAGACTACACGCATGGGTCCTCTGAATGCATTACCTTATCAAACGGTGTGTAAAACTGGCTTCAAGACTCCTCTGGGGCTTTGTTAGTGGCACCGGAGTTGTCTTGAGGTAAAATGCTCTAAAATACCAAAAGCTACTGATGATAAAAATAGGGTGTCACTACGCAAATCCAGATGTGTTGACAGCGACTCTGAAACTTAAAGGTGGTAACCAACTCCTGCTATCAAGAGATGGAATCTGCACACACTACGCGAAACCGATGCCAAGTGAAACGGTCGACCTCTCACAACCCTACAGATAACCATCCCAAGAAGATTCGACCACGATTGATTCAACAAAATTGATCACTTAAAAGAAAAATTCCTCTCGGGGCAAAAGTTTGAAATCGGTAATGCCTTTTAGAGCAAAATCCCACCTTTCAGTGTGCTCAATAAGCCATGCAATGATTAAGCGTTTGGAGAACTATTTGAAACGCTGTTGCACTTTAAGTACATCATGAAGGTTGCGTGGGCTGGTAATAAAACATTTGAAGCCACAAAGGCCTCCTTCACATATCTGCCAAGCCAAATATAGATCGCTGTAAACAAGTGACAAAATTGCGTAACTCTAAAAGACCGTTTTTAAAACGCGTATAGGATGCTCTGCGCACTTACTGATCTTACAGAATGAAGTGAGAAAGGAAAGCTATCTAGGGAGAGGTATCATGCACAAGCATTACAAAGCCTTGGTAAATATTGAGTTAACAAGTAGTACGAAGATGATAAACCGTCTAAAAAGCTGAGCAATGTGGTGACTTACCATTACAAACTTTTTCGAACAGATCGATAACAAAAAGGAGGGCACGATGCAACCTTAGGAGGTTTCGACTACCCAAAGTGCACTTAGCATTCGGCTTTAGATGGTTGCTTTCATATTGATCAGCTTCAAAGTCACACATTTTCCTCAAAGTTGTGAAGTGTTCACAAAAATCCGCGGAATGTTTGGACGTATCACGCAGGTCGTTCAGAATCCCCAGTTTCTGATCAACATCCCGTAACACGAAGTACATGATACGACCGAGAGAATCCAAGATGCTTGAATGGGGAATAAGTTAGAAGATATATGCAAACCTGGATAATTCCTTAAAACCGTCACAGTAAAACTTAGTAGAGATATCATTGCCGACGACCGATTTGGAAAAATGTTCTGTCATTCGTTTAAGATCAAGGCTGGCAGAGTTCGATTCCGCCATTTCCTAGAAGGGCAATGAACAGATAGACAGTGAAGTCTGCCTAAATAAAAAATACACTAGAGCACAAATGATATTTGGACCCATAGGGGACACGCAAAGGAACAGTATGCGTGAAAGTAAAACCATCGCAAGCGACCAATAATGTAGACAGGTGGATTTCAGGCGGTGATTAGGCAAACGACAACAACAAAGGCACTCCATTACTATGGCATGAAGAGAAGCACCAGTAATAAAAGTTCAAGCAGAATAACTCGGCCCCTATCTGACTGACAGATACAAGGAAGTATGAGTGTAATCTGTTTGGCTCCAAACGAGGAAACAAGGCTGCACCATTGACCAGTTACTACTGTTCCGTAAGAGCATGCCAATGTCAAAAAGCGATAATCTCTTTAGAATTTCGAAATTGCGTATGTAAAAGACAACATCTCTTAATGCTAAGATGCCTTATAAATAGACAAGGTAAACACATTCCAAAGGCAACCAACTGGGATGAGTTACGCGAAAACGGGGAACCCGCTCTGCTTGAAATAACCCAAAGTTAGCAAAGGTTGGGCTAAACTAGTAAAACAACTAAGAAAACGATAAAGTTTCAACGTATGATCTCCGTCTAACCGCCACGCAAATGGATTTGCTCAAAATCGATACGGGCGTGTTAACTTCTTAAGGACTCTTTGAACAGTAGACAACAACGTTCATGTATGAAAAATATTTGTAGATAAAAAGTGGGCTAGATCATGCCAGCCATTTTTCAAAATTGTAAATTTTTAAGTGAGGAAATCATATCTTTTAAGTAATTAAGTAGAATGATCCACTTATCCCGCCACTACATTTTTAAAATGAAGCCGTTTGATATTTTTTATGATATAATTAACACGTGGGGCAAGTTGGAACACCTCCATGGGATATGCTTATTCACGTTGCCATATGCACCAATGACCTTGACTATTGCCTAGAATATCAGCTGATCGCGGTGTGCATCGTTTATGGTAGATCTTCCTAAAGTTGAATTCGTTACAATCATAAATCATGTGTTTAACATGCTTGCGAATACTCCATATAATTAAGCGTAGCCATTGTTTGCATCCGATCTTTGTGTTATTGTCGAAGGCATCCATGATACCATGCTACACTTTCGGTAGAAGTATGAGTCTTTGTTTGCCTGATTAGTAATTCATTACCTTAGAATAGTTTCTGTTCGTCGATTTATTATTACCTTTTTAATTATAGGTGAGTCTTTTGTAGCCTTCGGCTTTGGGATTTATTTGCGGATAGTCTACTGCATTCTACGCTACTATTATATTTGTTGGATTTAGGTTTCAAGCGTTAAAATTAGCTTTTTGTTTCACACAGTTTAGACTTATTGTTGTACTTTTATGATTTTCATTGGATTATACAAGTCTTCTTGTGTTTTATTGCTGTCCTTCTACAACAGCCGGAACAACACCTATGGAGTTGCGACGATAAGGGCAATGCGTATTTTCTTTCCTCTTGGGAGGCGGGATGGAGACGGCTAAGAGCACATCGGGGTGTTCAGCTGCGTGTTAAGCGGATTGTAGCTGGTGCTTGGTGTGTGTGGGCCATTGGTGTCGATCAGTCGCCTTATCTCCTTGTTCCCTCTGACGGAACGACAATACGCGTGACAGAGATAATCGTACAGCATGAGGTAGATCAATATCTTATTAAATCAACATTTCCTCTTTTACATCAGCGCTGGAATCCGTCTTCGGGCTTCTCTGCATCAAATCTCACCGTCAAAGATCCCCCCGAATATCAACGGATTGGGTACAATACTTGTAGTTGGACTGATCTCCCGTCTACTCGGTGGAAATGGGAATCGCCGGAGTGGGAGTATATGCTCGAGCACAGTGAAGACCGGGCAGTGAGTTTGTAATTCCTTGGTATTTACTCTCTGCACGCCCTAATTCACCTGCAATCTGCCTAAGGGTTGGGAGTACTCAACATCCTTTAGTGGAGATGCCATCTTCTCCTCTTTCTACCGATGCGATTGTGTGGTTCGAAGGCGTCGATGGCAGCGGGTTAGACGATTTCTAGGCCACGATCGCTGGCTTCTCTGCAGTGTCTCCTCCGACGACCTTGACCCTCGAAGCGGGCCACGCCTCTTCTCAAATAAAGGCATTGTACATGTCCACAGACTGGCTATTGGCGGACAGGCCATCCCCTACCAATCGCTTGGCTTTCTCATACCCTGGGCAGTGACCAAGGACGGACGTGTAGGCTTCACATGTATCGTTTAAGCTTATTGGTACTGATACGATAATAGCGAGCTCAAGCTGAAGCCAACTTCCTATCCTTCCCATTATTTTTATTATATGGAGATACTCCTATCGTTATTTGTCCTTGCATATGAAGTAGATGCTAGTGGACTGCTAAAACTGTTATTTAGAGCTACAACTTTAACTCGCCAAATATGACTAAGCACCCGTTTTGTTTCTCTCTTTAATAGCTTGTCTGTGACTGAAATGCCCAAGCCATTGTGTCACAACCGTTGCTTACTAATTGCCGTTTAGTATTTTTCATGCCCGAATTTCGAGAGACCACCGTGTGATAGCATTGCGCCAAATGCTCATTCTTTATGACATGGCCTGGAAGTTTATCTACTGCTTTCAGCCAATCAGGTTTTTTTCCAAACTATTGTAATCATTTTTCGCATGCGTCCCATATTTCTGCAGGTTATATGCAGAACTGACGTCCATCGCAACAATCCCGAGGGCAGTAATTGGGTGGAATGGCACCTGCTTATAGTGCAGGACCAAAACTCTGGCAAATTTCATCCACACACCCACCAGCCATTCGCTATTGATATCCATGTCAATCAGTACGGTCAGGCCCTTGTGCTCACCGACGATAACCAACTTTTCTACCGCAACGGAGTCGCTTCCAAATTCCCCTATGGTGAGTTTCCTTCCCTCTCTTGATTATCCCCATGTGACTATATTTTGGCACATTGACTATCCAATTACCTAATTCTTATGCAGAGTTCACATCAAGGAAACGCAATTTATTGCTTTTTGTTGTTCCTTTTACACCGAATTTTTATGCATTTAAGCTGCTTTTGTTTATTCTATACGAGTTTGCTGTCTATACTTTGGTTGTCATGTCTTCCACTGTTGTGAAAAAAATTGATAACTTTAAGGATTATTGCTAGGTTAAAAATTCTCACAAGAACTTTCGCAGTAAGCATGAGTCTGAAATCCAAATATGCCACATGGGAAATGCGCTGAGGTGGATACATTGTGTTACAAGCACCAAAATTGACCTGTGATCTAATAAAAAAAAACAAGCTCTCCGTAGGTGTCTTTTGAAGGTCATTATTGATAGCGGTTGCGGTCTTTGTAAGTGATAAAAAAGTTCTGGATGTAGTTCACCGCCTGCTACCTCCGAGGAAGTTGTAAGACGTGTGAGTCTGGAGTCACATTTACCAAAAACAAACAAAAGTGTTGAAAATCTATTAGTCTGGGTAGCGTGAGACACCATGAAGGCTCACGTAGTAGCTTCTAACACAATTTTTCAAACATCGGACTGTTGAAGGCACGTCATGGATACAGATAGTGTGCGGTTTCCCGTCACTGATGCTGCGGGAGCACGAGCACCTAGTGTCTGTGGCCTTGGGGGGGCGCAGTGCCTGGCTGGTGGCAAACACCGGACGGGCCTGGTTCCACACTGATTTCGTCACCACTACCATCTCTGGCGCTCCCCTCTTCGAATCTCGGCCCTCCTGGGCTCCCATGTCCGGCCGTCTCGCCTGCCTCTCTGTCAGCTCCTCCGATCAGGTGCGGTTCCCGTCCTCTATGTCTCGAAATACTGTTTTTTCGCTATTTTTGACCATTTTGGTGGAAAAAGTCTAGAAACGTGTAAGACTCAGAATTTAGCTTTTCTTTTTTGACTAAAGCTGGAGGAGCACTCTACTCAAGCTTTAATTTTTTTTATCTATATTTGTATGTTACTGGAGGGAACTAATGACAGCTTTTAATTTTAAAAATCGTTCGTCCTAGCTGAAACTCAGTGATAAATTGATGGAACTTTTGGTGCCCTCTTCGCCATTCTTTACTCTTTTAATAACGCAAAGATGTGGTGATTGCTATTGCTAGTGCCATTAAATGGATTGTATTGGAAGCAAAAAAAAACCAAAATTTCGAAAATTGATGCCGTGTTGGAAGACTGTAACATCGGAACTGTGGTGGTAGAACTAAATCTATGGCTTACGTGTCGAACGTGTTAGTTCCACAAGCATGCTGGAAATATGAACATCTGCATCCATTGGCAAGGATGCGATGGTTTTTTTGGTTAAAATTTATCGATAACGTCAAAAGATTGCATCGGCTACCTTGGCATTGCAGGTGTTTGCGCTGGACGCCTGCTCGAATCGCCTAATCTACCGTAGCGGAATAACTCCTGAAACACCAGGAGGTGAGGTGTGGTTAGCCCTCGATTTGCCAATTCTCCCCAGCCTTGATGATGACCACAAATTAAGGAGCCCTCTGAATCAGGAGGGCCCCCTGGCCCCCCTCTGCACCCCTCAGAATGAGGCCATCCAGTTTGTCAGCGGGGTACTACAGCTTACCAGTCCTGACTCTTCCGATTCTACTGACGATAGTCTCGAGCGACTGAGTGTGCCCGAAGGTTGTAGTGTTCTACTTTCTCCAATTCTGTTGATTTTACACTCCCAGTTATAATCGTAGACTTTCTAGTGTGTGGGAGCATGTCGTGATAAACAAAACCCTCTGATACACAGTATCAAACCCATAGTCATAAACGTCTGTCACAAATTTTTTAGTTGTCAACTGGTGAAAGGTTTATTCTGATTAGCTATCAGCGACTGATTCCTACAACCAGATGTTTTTCATGTTGCTTGGAGGGAATGTATCAATTGATCTTTTAAAACTACGGTGACCTTAATTTAAGCATAAGGTAGGAAGTAAATTGACTGAGATTTCACCTATGCTTGACAGGTCTACTCGTGTTTTGTAAAAGTTTATAAATCATATTTGGAATATTCCTTCACAAAGCTGGAGAATTTACCACTTAAATCGTCAATTTATTTCACTGAAGCTTTTACTCAAGTTGGCTTTGCTGTACACCTCTCAAAAGGCGCTTATCCAATATGCGTATTTACGCATTGTAGACTACGATCCCAATACCGTCAACCCTCTCCCTCAGGTGAGTTCAGTGTAAACCTAGTATTTTTATCACATCTGAATCTGTAGTTTATGTAGTTTAGATGCCCAAAGGTACCACCCATTCATGTTGGCGCGAAATTGAGTTTGAAAACTGGACTCTATTTTTAAAATAAAACTTTCGGGATACTCCTGACGTAAGCACAATACAGACCCCTTGTGAGCTCAATCTGAGTTTCAGCACGTCATCCCTCTTCTCCATTTAGCTTTCACCTGCGCACATTCTGGGTCACAGACTGCGCAGGTTCTTCACTCGCCGAAGTCGGGGTCAGATTAACAGCTTTGTCAGTTTTCGTCGTCTCCTCACTAGGGATGCCTTGGATGAGAAAAGCGATGCGTCGTGGCTGCCAGATGACCAGGTCCTACCTAAGATTGGTCATCCACCTACTCGCTTGACCTCGCTCTGGGCCGGTGCGCTGAGCTCCTTAACGGAGCACCATCTGCCTCATCGATGGCGGATTGCTGCTCTCCTTTTAGGTACACCACAGTCAACGTTTAATGCTATAATTTTGTACTTCCTTTGATTGTCTACTGCTTTGCCAAATACTTAGTTTTGTCAAGACACTTTGCGATGTAATATGACATCGTTGAAATTTTTCACCAGCTTTGCATCAATCGTTTTAAAGGGACCCCAGTTCATCTGGTAGCTACCATAGTCTTGAAATGCTCGACGGAGTATACTAATAAAAGTGAATAGTAGTGTCAATATTTTAGTTCAACGATGGTGATTTAAAGTTTTGTGAAATAGGACGTTTCAGGCTTTACCAAGTCTACGGATAAATACCCTTAGAACTAAAAAAGCGAATGGATTTGAATACGCATGCAATACAAACCACTTACCTTGGTTTCTCCAGCCAGCCGTATTTCGCTTTGGTTTATCATCCAGACTTGGGACCTCTTATCCCTTCACCATACACAGATTTTGAAGCTTTTGTATACTTATCCCACCTCAAATAGGGAGGAAGAATTTAATCCCTTACTTCACGATGAACGAGTTGTTGCAGCCGCCCGAGTGGCTCCTTTGCATTGACAGCTCCCTTCCATCCTCAGTGCTAAATTTTGTACTCAATGGTGTGGAATTCACCAATGCGGTAGCTGATCGCGTGAGTGTACACACTTCTTCATCTTTTTTCGGCCTTTTACAAACTGCAATATGTGTTTATTCGAACTAGCTTTTTTGTTGTGCAGCTGATTGTGTGCAGTGTTTACTGATTCATCTACTAGACCCTTCTTGATAATTACTAAGGCGGAATTTGAGGGGGTGCTGCCTTTTTTTCTGCTTGTAAATTGGCAAAAATTGAGACTAGGATGGTCCCACAAAAGTTGGTTAATTAAAGGATGATAATTTTACGCTATAACGGTAGCAATATGTGCATTTAAGTACGGGTAACCAAAATGAATGCCTAAAAACATTAACTAAGTTGCGTCAATAAAAAGGGCTGTGTTTCACCAATAAATTAACTTTTTTCCTCCTTTGGGAAAGGTAATCTTGCACTTTTCCTGCTGATGGAAGTAAGTTTGTCATCTTTCAAAGCCCTTGAATTCTTTTTCCACTTTCTACTGATACCTCTTGCCTTGACATTTGTGATGTTAGTGGTGAGATATCCCATTTGGTGACCTACTGTCGTCGCACTTCCTCTTTGGAAGTTATTTTGGATAAGACGTTCCCATTGCTAGCATTTCATTTAGGAACTCTTTAAGGCACCCGAATGCCTTATTATTAGTAGATAATTCGTGACGAGTGTGCCAAACTTCTGCCACAGGAATTTGTTCTACCTCATGGCCCTTACTCGCCCTTAGTGTGATTTTCGTGTTCGGGGTGTGCGTGTGACAAGACATGGTGCTTCATGTGTGCTGTTTTTAAAAGTACGAGTCTACTGCCACTGGCTTTATTGCTTCATTCTAATGTGCTTTTGTTGATGAAAATTATGAAATGACTTCTTGCGAATTTATGCAGCGTACCTGCCTGGGCCTTTTCTGTCTAAATCTGGGCCCTCTTACAGACTGGATAAAGTAATTTGCCTTAGTCCTAGGGATATAACCTTCAAAACAGGCAGCATGGCCCTCATGACCTACTTTTTGGAAGTAGCTTTTAATGTGGCGTAAATGCAACCCCACCACAGTGATAAAAATGAATGAATTTGACCTTTAAATTTGCATCCCGATATCAGACATCCCAGAGGTTCCTCCTTTGGTAAACACATATTATTTTAGAAACCATGGACTCAAACCTTTCGGGTTGATGTCCTTCAAATATCGCCAGAAGATCGCAGTAAATGCCAATGGGCTCGAAGACATGCTGTAGTCACTCACTTTGCCTCTGAAATGCACCTCCCCGAATTTTCCTTGGTAGCCCCTTCATCATCCTCTCCTACTTCAGTTTTCGAAGACTCGACCGAAGTCACATCGGCCTCTCTGGTGTGTGTTGTCATTGTTTATCCGAAATATTTATCAAATCTAGACCAAATTTTTTCCTCAATAAATTTGCATACTTTAGAATCTGATGCTTAAGCTGGATAGGAACTTGATTTTAAAATGATCATTTACACTTTGCTGTAGGGTTTGGACAACAATTTGACTTTAAAAAAACAGTGCCGTGACTTAGACTCAATTAACGTGATGGTTTGAGCTGGAGAGAGCGTTCGTGTAGCAGAATTAATTGCTGATTTAGAGTGTAAAAATGTTAAGACTGGTTGTCTATCATCAAAACATTCATGTTTTACTTCTGCTGTTACCATGCCCCTTGGGGCCACTGGCTGTACTAACATTGAGTGCACCACTACCTGCAGCCTACTTTGCACGCAAACTTGTTGAGGCTAGAATAGGAGGTCATCCATCTCGGTATATTACAAAAAATTGGTCAGAGTTTATTTAGATCAACGAATTCCCATGGTATTACAATAGGATTAGAAAAAACAAAATACGCTTTAAAGTGACTCTTATGGTCAGTATTTAAATTGAAGAAAATGGTTGTCGGGCTTAATGACTTGGTTAAATACACCATTGCTATCTTTTAGATGTCTCAAAAAATAAGTAGTAACGAAATTGCCTGGGTCGGATACATAGATTCCCTCTCCCCACTGATACCTCGTAGTCTGAGAGAAGTCTACACCAGTGGTCATAGGAAGTTCTCCGACAGTCTGCCTATTCAAAAGCCAGAAGAATCGCCCGCAGAGGTCCTAAAAAAGACCCTCCCACTACCTTCTATCTTTACCCCCTCTTGTGGACATCTGGTAGCCGTTTTCGTGCGAGACGAGAAGCCATCACCGTCCACTACTGCTAATCCCTCGATGACCGTAACTACGGAGGCTGTTGAGGATGAAGAGGAAGAAGAGAGCTCGACAGTGTTTGAAGAACACATTTCTCTTATTAGAAGCCACATCGTTCCACGATGGGTTCTTCGCTTCCCCTCCAAGGCTGAGGCGTCTGCGTGGATGGCGGAAACACAACTTATGGCGAGGGTACTGCCTTCTGCTGGCAGAGTCTGGCTGGTGACTGAACAGTCTGAAGTTTTCTGGGCTGTTGGGACCTCTCTGGACAGCCTTACGTGGAACAGGGTCAGTGTCGACTTTCATTTTGTAATCTCTCTGCATCTTTAGGTTGGTGGTCACTTTGCTCGAGTAGACAGTGTATCCATATCCACTAAGGATAAGGGTCAAGTAACGTGGGCACTAGGTCATAACTGCACACCTTGGGTGCACAGAGGGGACTGGACGCCAGCATCCGGCTCACAGTTTCGATTCTCGCACAAGCATTTTCCCTTCAACACGCCTCATGTACAGACAGACATTAGAAAGTTTCGGGTTTATGAGTTTCAGTTCAGACGAATGCTTCATGGCTACACCTCCAGGTAAGTTTTACATTCTGATGTTACTCACTCTTTTCAAATGATTTGAAACAGTAGACCCTCACTTCTCTTTTTGGTTTTAGCAAAGCCTTCAACGAGCGCGGTGTCATATGGTTACGAGACGCACGAAATCAGCAGCTCTGCAGCCTCTGTGACATCCACCTTCCACCGCATAAGGGTCGAGTTCACTGGCTAGATGATTGGAAGGTGGATTTTTCGACCTTGCCTGGCTCTGCACCACACCACACGCCAGCGGTGTCGACGTCAAGAGGCGAGGAGTGGGACTGGGAGTGCGGTGGTAAGGAGAGTCCCTCCCACTCGCCACGGGGATCGCCTCGGCGCGGCTATAGTATAGATTCTTCTCTGAGCTCACCAGACTTGGTTATCACACTGACGCAATCACAAAACCTCACCACAACCGTCTCCTCCACCACTTTTACTATCACCTCGACGACATTTGCACCTCCACCCCCTTCTCCTTCAAACGGGAATTTCAAAGAGGGTGTTGCTTATTCGGGGACGGGTGAGGGCTTTGCCTATTCCACTCCACCCTCATGCGATAAAAAGGGATGGCTCTACGTCTCTCGATCGTCCTCTTGCAGGTAAGTTGTTGAAGCCATACGCTATAATGATTTTTCCCATAAATATCTTATGACAAATAGATTTGAGGTAAGTGAAACCTCCAGTGAATCACATCCTCCTTCGAAACATTACGCTTGGTGATGGATCTTTCAAAATTGCCGCTGATGTCCTTTGCTAAATTTGCTAAATCAAAAGGTTATTTCCGAGTGACCTACTCTTTGCTTTGCTATTAGTTCCCAGGGCCAGCGTCCCAGGTCAGCCAGCGGGGTGCGGCACCGACGGTGGGTACGTTCTTGCGCAGTACGCACAGAGGCGCCGTGGCAGGAAGTGGGCCCGTTGAGACTTAAGTGCCTCAATCTCTCCCGTGCCTCTCCCACCAGCCACTGCGTGGACGTCTGGGCGGTCACCGACTCTGGCGAACTCGTCTTTCGACGCGATGTCACTCCTTCCAATCCGGGGGTAAGTAGGTACAAACCCGTAAGCCTTGTTCACTAGGGTCTTCTAGTGGGTTTCAAGCTCAAAGTTGAACTTACTTATGTTAAGATTAACCATTGGGATATTTTTTGGCCGTCGCCATCTACCTCATCATTAGGGGTGCTTGTTTACACGTGATTGGGCCTATTGATCTCTCCCTCTTGAACGCGGAATTTAGCACGGGTGATTGCTGTCAGCCATGTGCTCGAACGGAAAGCGCCTTCCGCATTTGTACTTTGTCCAGCCTAATCCTTTCGCCTACACCCAGAAGTATGAGGAAGCACTTGATATGGTACACGGTAAAATCCGTCAGCTCTTCTCCGACCCCAATCTCGTGCACACACCCGAGACCAGTGCTTTGATGCGCGACATTGCCGATGAGGTGGCCTATTTGCGCTTCGACAGCACTCTACTCAGAACTGCTTCACCGGAGTGGAGTAAAAAATTCACGGAACGCGAACTAGTAACCCAACGTCAGGCTTTTCTCGACACCTGCACTCTTCTCACTGACCCCGGTGGTCAACTTACCGCTCGCTACCAGGTTAACATGAAACCGGGAAACCGGGATTGCAGCAACGTCCATTGCGCTTGTATTGAGTTAAAGAAGAACCCAAACGCCGATGCCGATATTGGGATTGGGTGGACAGACACTAGCAGACGTTCTGCCGAGAATTGGGCGGTAAAGGAACTTCAGGGTCTCCGCGATGAGCTGAGACCTCTGGCTGAAGAGGCGAAAAAGCGCACAAAACAGTACCTCGATGCCTACGGCATTACAGATCGGTACACGGGATATCGCAACGACCTCGGCTACATCTGCCGTCCGGAGCGTCCCACGGGTATCGACCCCGCACTGCTTAACCCTGGTCGACCTGCTATTGCCCCGCGCTGGAATATGGGCGTGGAGGATGAGAGAGCACGCGCGGTGGAGTGCACTGACTTTGTCGCTCCACAAGACACCGAATGTGAGCGTATGGCGCGTACGACGCGGAAGTGTGAAGTGAAAGTAACCTGTGAGGACCCTGTGGAAGCTGCGGGAATCGTGTGCAAGTTCCCAGGGAGAACAGAATACGAGGATGCTTACATTGATCCTCCACTGCGCAACCTCCCAAGTTCGGCCAAGAAGCCACCTCGGACGCATCGATCTGTGTCGGAGCAGCCCCCAGGTGTTCGCGGACGTGGTCCTGATGTTGAAATTGGCATGGAGTTAATGCGTGGCAAGAACTTTGGCATCGGGTCACCACCGAGGCATCAAGATGTATGGGTGCTGGGCACGAGAGGCTCGAAGGAGTTTCCCAGCACGGAGTACCAAGACCGGTACAAAAAGTTTCGGGCCACTGATCTCAATATCTGTCCCTGGGAACGTTGATAGGGTGGGAGGCTTTGTGGTTTTTAAGCCTAGCGTTAAGAATAATAATAGACGCGCATGCATATTCCAAAATGAATTTTTATTATGTTGACTGCTGGACTCTTGCTGTTCGCGTGAAAGTTCGGGGAGGTGGTCATTGTTGGGCTAAATGTAACTTACAATATCTTAAATTGAATGCAACCCATGTAATCCGCTAAATGGCGATTTTAGAATAACTCAATGTTTTTGGCCTTCTTTTTTTAGTGGATTTAATCATTCTCCCACTTCTTAACCTCTTCATCTGTTAACTGTCTTGTTTTGTTCCTAAAAGGGGACTGCTGGTAATGGCTTTAATAAAAAAATCTTGATATACCTGAGGTGCTAATCCAATCAGGAGAAGGATATCGGGATATGCGGAGTACCTTATGTTCAGGGTTTCTGGATGGTACCCGTCATCTTCCCCTTTCGATTTAACCTATTCTTTCAAATTTTTCAACCGATCACATCTGGTGAGAGTTGTTTTGGTTTGAGTAGGTGTAAAAATTTGTTTGTTTTATTGCAATGGAAACGGCATGACTGTTTGTTTAGTTTAGGCCATATATGAATGCATTTCAGCCGGCAGTGGAGCGTTCTCTCGTCAGCTAATTTGGTGATTGGTCAAAAATTATTATGTGGTCAATGCAATCCACCACTTTTAGGGTAGTGGCCGTCTTTTTTGGTATTACAACGTAGTACTTTTCATCATTGGTCTGGTCTCGATCATTTTGACCCACTGCGTCAAGAATTGGTGCTTTAGATTCAGTACATTCAGGTGTGGCTTTGGAGGGAAAGGAATGGGGGGTCTGCATTACCTAGGAAGGTATCATTTTCACAGTCTTTGAAGATTATTCTTTTGTCTCATTTACTTGTTCCACGTTTGAAACGTTCACACAGGGACGTCTCAGAATAAGCATTTTTGATCCATGTTTCCAGAAAGGCGGTATTTTGACACCTGGGATTCCAGCAGTTCCTTTTATTTTCAATGGGCAATTTAGCACCACACATTTTTTCGCTATGGACTCACTTCACGGTGCGGATGTTTAACGAACGAAAAGTTTTAAAGCCGCTTTCCACGTGCTCCTGCTGATTCTTGTGTCGGGTTCTTCACAGGCAATAGGACATTTGAATCAACTAAGAACTTAATGTGAGAAGAGATTGTCGCCTAGTTTCCGAATTTTCTTCACAATCATTCTAACAGCCAAGCTGAGATGGTGCATTTGGCTTGAGATGGCACAGTTGAGTAATGGGCCGAGGGCCAGGAGGGATGGTCCGATCAGGTGAGGCAAGGCATGGGTAGCATTACTTGCTGCGTCAGAAATGTTACCTTGATGGATTCTAGCGAAAAAAATTCCAAGGTTGTTTTCGTCACCTAATTTCGCATTCGGCCACAACGAAATTAGTCGATGTACTTTTTTGCCCTAAAGTGAATCACGTAGACGTTCCTTTTAGCCCTTATTTGAATTTGTGGAATCCAGTCAGACTCTCTCACGTCGAGTAATGCATAATATGTTGATTTAATCAAGTTGAGGGAAATGCTAATGTGCTTTTGTCGTAGCTCCTGTATTCTCATAATGTTATTCTTATCTTCTAGAACGAGCGCTGAATAGGACGTTTAAACTTAAAATTTTGCAACAAAACGATGGCCTTACTCATCAAGAGACGCGAATCGGACTTTCCGACTCGACCACACACCTTTGGAAACTGACCTTCATAAATTTCTTCCAAAACTATTCCCATCTACCTTAGAGTGAGCGTCCACATTAAATTCCCGAGTATCCACTCAGATAGCTAAGTCAGAATTGATCACGATGAAAACTGCATTCTCTTCTAATTCAATCAAATTAGTGTGACCAATATTTTATGCTTACAATGCTTAACGGGATTCTCGATGCTGGTTGAATTACGGCACATTGCCTCCTCGCTTCAGGGGTCCTCGTGGCTTCACTACCCCACGAAGTGGCGCTTGCAGTTTGTGGCCGCTGCACCAGAGAGCGGTGGTAGACGGCTGTGGACGATTTGCGCGGACTTTGGACTATTGTGGAGGCTGGAACAGCTTGAGACATCAGTGCGGTGGTGCTGTCTCGGCTTCGCTCCCAGTGGGGCCGCCTGGCGTCTCCTCGCTCCGGTCAGCCCGTGCTGCCTCTGGGCTCTCGATGTCGACGGGGCACTCTGGGTCCATCTGGTGAGCTCCTGCGGCTCTGCAGAGGTGGCGACGGAAGAGGAGGCGGAGAACACGGAAGGGCGGGAGATGGCCAACTGGATCAAAGTCGCGTCCCCCCGAGTCTCTGATATCTCCTGCAGTCCTGACGGCAAGGTACGCTCCAACCTTCCGTTGATCGTATGAACTCTAACTCGAATCATGTGCTTCATTAGTTAGAACTTGATTCTGCAATGTTAGAATATTAATTCGAAATGGAGTTCCCTTATCCGTTTTTAAATAATCAAAAGCGCTTTCAGAGATTCGCTTCAAACGCCAATTGCTTATTTTACTCTGGACAACCACGATCGCCATTATGGTATTTTTGATAATGACATTGTTAAATCTATTTAAACGTGTGTACTGAATTTGGATTTGTGTTTTGCAGGTGTGGGCTGTGTTTTCGGCCACAAATACTCTGGCCGTTCGAACCGGAATCTCACCAAAATCTCCGAGTGGAACCGGTTGGTTGCTGGCTTTCGAAGGGATCGTCTCAAGTGTTTGCATAAAAGGAGCTTCTGTTCTCGTGTAGATCCACTCCACCATCCTTTTCTGCCAACTAGCAACAGTTTTACTCAACTATTTTAGCCTTTGTACAAGTATATTTTAAACATTTTTATAGTCTTCTACTGGACTGCCCTTCATTCGATTTCAAGTCCAGTTTTCCAACATACAATTTATTAAATATTGTTCGTTAATCATGTTCCTGTGGTGAAGACTTTGAAGTATTTAATTGCGTGTTGCGCTTTATATCGGAATCCCAAAGAGGTGATCCCTAACGTGACTCAAGCGGTGTGTATGTCTGTCAAAACCTCAGGTCGGTGGTGTAGCCCCGTCAAAATCTAACGGCTAGTTACCGCTCAGAGTATCAAGCATGGTTTAGGATGTCAGTTTAGTAAACGGATGCCCAAGAAGACTGGCGCTGAAATAATAAGTGTTCAATCTCTTGAAACTGTACGATGGTAGGCTAAACAGGTGCACCTCAGCATTTGGAAAGAGGGGTTTCGTATTCACCTTCGCTGGCGCAATTTTTATCATCTACCTTTCTTTTTGACTGACTGTAGCACCTGTAGTACTTTATTTACTCGTTTAACTTAGTTTAGGAAACGGGCCGCTTAGGGGCCCCGCCAATGCGCCTTTGACAGGAGGCCTGGCTCCAATCCCTCTTGCATGTTGACAATCAATATTCCGCCCAAGCACTGGGTCTTCTTTCATCTTCAGGGAAGTCGCGGGACGTTACAAATATCCACCTTCCCTGAAGGCATAATAAGCATGAGGAACATTGAGGATTATACATCACGTACAGAAGGACTAGATGGCCACTAGCATGGTTAAAAGGTCAAGCTGCGGAGCAAAAAAGACAAATTGCGGGAAGTGAGGCGCTTCAGAAGTTAAACACGTAGTTTAAATATAAAATCATTACAGATTGTATTTTCATCTGTATTTGGATGTGTAATATGAAGGAAATCATGGATCTTAAATATTATAGACAAAAGTTCTACGAATGCTTGATAACGAACGGTACTTATTTTCCCCATCCGATTACGCATTTGTGTAGATATTTGTATAACTACGTGATTTAGTCTGAGTCAATTATAAGTCAGCATTGAAGTATGGACTTTAATCCATGCTGATTGCAGTTCAGCCCGTCTGTGCATTAGTAATGTGTCTTCTTCAAAGCACTTTGGCTAGTTACAACTTCAAAGAAGACTTGATAACCTGCAGCCTTATTTCCCCATCTTTTATTGGCTTTACAAAATTGATCAAAACACTTACTAACCAAAATTCCACAAGGAACATAATTTAAAATAAAGTTTTTGCAAAATTTAGAATGTCAGAAAACTTTTTTTATAACCAGATATACTTTTGGAGCATTTTTTCGCCCAAACTAGTCACTCGTTTTGATTAGTACTCATTGTATGGGATTCGTCTGCGTTTAGACTATTCAAGTTGGTGGGCGTCGAATTGGCCTACATTCTACGTGGTTTCGGGTAGGTACTTCATTACGCGATTCCTCTCTTTCCTATGAGCCCAGTCACATCAAAATTTTTAGATATAGGTGCAGTTTTACCTTTCGTGGGCATATCTTTGCTTAAGGGGGAGCCATTGCATTACAAAAGCAATTATCATCCCAAGGTTGCTTAATTGGATCCATAAGGCATCGTTTGTTGCATTGACATGCCACCTTTTACCGCTTGAAATATCTTCATCAAGTGTTGACTTTAGCGGATCGGTTTAACTTTTAGTGATCTACTACTTACCGCCTTAATTTGTATTTGATAGAATCCGGTTACAGCTTTGCCTTAAGTTCTGTTTTCATTGCTTCCAGGTATCGTGGTTTGTCCCAGTCTCAGATTATTCTTTCTTTTCCTACTGTGTATATAAATTTCGTGGTACTATGATTTGTAAGAGTAAATCTCTCATGTGGGTGATGCACCTTTTTTAAATAGTTGCCAGTAGCGATTCCTATGGAAATTAGTTCCTAGCTTGTTAAATAATTTCACCTTGGTCTTGCGTAATATCTGGCGCTTATTTGAAGATTTCATGTTTTACTAATTTTGATCCACCAATTCACTCGTTTTTGGATTGTCATTGAATGCGTTCTGCTCCCATAGGAATTGTGGACATTTTAGGTGACTTTATCACACCCATACTTACTTCAAAGGCATATACTACATTTTAAAACTTTTTCGAATATTAGACTGCGGTTATAGCACATTTTAACTTGACCATTACATGTCCTGCGGTTTTTGACAGTATAATTTTTTACTAAACGAAGATTATTTTTCGCTTTTGACGAAGAATACATGTTGAATTTGTTTGCCCGAAGTAACTTCAGGGCCACATAAGATTCTGTGCAAATCAAGGATAATCCAGCTTTTTTTAGCAACAAGATATTCTATTCTTGTGCACATATATTTGTCCTTTATTGGATATCATATATTTCTATTGGGCCTTCTCTTTATTGGGTTTCTTTCTAGTGTCCCCAGAACACTTTAGCTCATTATTGGGTTGGTTTTCGTCTAACCTTTTTGCGTTGGCAGAAAATTCACGTTCTTTCTACATAACATTAGTGCGGAGGCGCTAAATTTTCCACACAAAAGTCACACCAGTATTCGCTTAGCGTCAAATGATTGGTTTTTGGTATATATGTGTTTAAAAAGCTGAACTTTTAGCTTATTCTCACTGATATTCAACCTAATGCGCCTCTGTCCTTCTGTTTTTGTTGTCGTGAATTTCACTCCTTTTACTTCCAACAGACATGGATCTGTTCCGGCGATACCTTTCCCAGTCTACGGAGATTGGTGAAGATGCTGGTGCGAACGTCGTAAGTAAAAGCTAACAGTTCCCTCCCCATCATTCAACCCAGTTCTCATTTTGAGACTCCCACTTCAGATTGAGACTCTCGTGGAACGTCTGCAGACGGCGACTCGTGTCGAGGACAGACGCGACTCTATGCGTGGCATTAAGGCCCTTTCTAAACGCTACCGTCTTGAGGTCGGAACTCAAGCCATGCCTGCGTGCATTGAGGCTCTTTCGCGAGACAGGTTAGATGTCATTTTATTTTAATTTTTTCTCAGAATCTTTTAGATTTAAATGTGCGTGTCATGCTCATTTATAAGGCATTTTCCTGTAAATGTTTGAGTGACTCTTGTTCATTTTGCATCGTTAGCACTCAACCATTAGAATCTCCTACAGAAAGCTTCCTTCTGTAATAGGCTTGTTCTCACTTCTCGGTGAGGTTTATTGAAATCTTTTACGTAATCAAATCATTCACCTTTGTGTGCGCTAATTACGGAAACTTTTTCGCATTTATTAATTCAAATGTGAAACATATGGGCCATTCTACACTTTGAGTTTTAAGTCAAGAACTCGGCTTCTAAAATAGGGTGTAATATCATTCCAATACTTCAAGTGAATGTCAAAGCCGGATAATATTGTTTTGACGAACAGATTAATTTTTACAAAGGATTTCCGACGTTTTAAGTGACGTTTTATGTGTATAAGTGGCACTATTAACTAACCGTTTGAGTTAGGAGCTTAGTTCCGATTTGTGCCGTCTTTTTTTCGATGCTTTCGAAGCGAGGATTCGGATACTGTTTCGTACGCCCTGGATGCGCTTTGCAACATAATGAATGACGCGCGAACAGATATGGATCCACAGGAGTTAGTCAACATTCCACCAGATCTGGGAAAGCAGTTTACCGAGATTTTTGTAAAGGACCCCGAGAACGTCCAATTGGTGCTTTCCTTCCTTTCGGTAAATTTTGCCAATGTTGGAACGTATGCCTTGTCTCACACAGTGATGCTTACTACTATTTTTTTCTGTTTAATGATATCTCAGTCCTACGACATGCATCTTAGAAGGCAGACTATTCAGCTGTTGATTCTCATGCTGCAAAATAATCGAAAAGGGGTTCAGGATTTGCTACTCAATTCCCCCATGGCAGTCTCTAAATTCATGGCTACACTGTGCGACCCTATGGAGGTCATTCGAAATGACGTAAGTCCACCTTTTTTCCATCAGATGATTATGATTATGAAAATGTCGTTTTTTTGAAACTGGATTGTCTGTTCTCCTTATCCGTCTTAAGTTTAGACAAAAAAATTAAATTGCTCGATCGAGGTATTTGGTGTAGGTGGAATAACTCTTGATATTTTTCATTTGAGTTAAGAGAAAGTGTGGTAGGTTCCAAGGTTTTTTAATTGCGCAAATCCTATCTGGTGGACTTTTGATGAGCTAGCCTGGGAAGAGGCTTTCTAAAATAAGTTAGAGATGATTCACTCCACTTCAGCAGCTGTCATAAACGCCCCTAGATCTTATAAATTCTAAACGTAACGTCTCATTATGAATTAAATATATGGTGTAAAATCACTTCATATTATTAAATTGTCATTGTAAAATCGAGCTTAGCCTTTGCAAAGCATTTATTCAATCTTTCTGATCTGACCCTAGCGACACGAATGACAGGTTTCAGTGTTTTTTTTTACGGTGGCAGGTCAACTACGGGAATGAGAACAAGTTTTAAAATGACATTAAGAGGCTTAGTTTTGATTTCAATACTATTTTACGATTGGAAAAGTGGCATAAAACTTTTTGGAGAAGTTGAAGCATTCTACTGATAAACACAAGTATTTCATTGGAAATTTGGGTATAGGGCCTCCTGCTTCTGCTCTACTTCACAAAGAACCACGCGACCATTCAGAAGATAGTGGCTTTTGAGAACGTGTTCGAGCGTATTCTCTCTATTGTGGAGGCAGAGACAGTGGGCGACGGAGGTGTGGTGATTGAGGACTGCTTCCGTCTGCTTCACCAACTACTCGCGGGCAATCAGCAAAACCAAGTCCTCTTCAAGGACTGCCGATTCGTGCAGCGTCTAGCCAAACTGTTTGAACAAATCCCTCAGGAGCTTGAGGAGTCCTCCACTTGGTCGGCGCAGAAGTTGGTCAATGTTAGCTGGCTCCTCAAGGTCAGTTAGTCATATCTGCCTCACATTTCAAGTGAAGTCCTAGTTTTGTGTAATGGGGGGTGAATATGGGACCTCAGTTTTGTTCTTTATTACGAGGAAATCACAATTCACTATTGCGTTCCGGAGTAAATCAGAAAGCCTTATCGTTGTGTACTGAATCATCAATTCCGATAAGCTGTTTATGTGCTCGAGTTGGTCTGGATCCTATCGGGCTCTCAACCGGATACTCAATAGATAGACCTCAGAACAGACGTCTCCACTATTAATTTCACATGGATGAGTAGAAGAGGATGCAGTGAGTGCACGCATTCCTGGCGGCTAGACGGTGGAGACTCTCCGACGCGTCAGTCTCAGTTACTTCGGTGAAGTGTAGTTAGTCACTGCATGACCTTAGTCTTCAAGTGATATCCAGTACACTCAAAGTTCATCTATGATTGATATCAGTCACTCAGGCGGGGCTGAGCAAGAGCGGCCATTTGAAACACTTAAATTCGTCTTACTATTTATTTGCTACACGGCTTCCTTTCAAATTTCCGTTCTATTGACCTTTAGTGTTGTGTGCTTCGAGCTTAACCTTTAGGCCAAACAAACATTTTGTTTGAAATGAAGGTTTTGGCAAAAAAATTTTACGAATAATATGATTTGATGGGGAAGCGTATGAGATTCTTGAATTTCATGGCAATGGTTTGAATAGTGAATGTATTGAAAGTTTGGGGGTCATTCATTTTCCCCATTTAAGAAAACTTAATTATAAGAAAGACCCTGAGAATATCGTGACTTTAATGAATACTGTACCTTCGAATTCATCCTCTCCCTCTTGAGTAAGGCTTCGCCTATAAGTGACATTGGAGTTGATTTAAAAGGCCTATTTGCTACCTAGCTCACGGATTTTTACTCGGGATAGAGGTCAAGGGAAAGTTTTGGCTTTGATAGGTCAGTGTGCTGCTTTCATGAAAGTTGTCATCACTTAATTGTGAAAGTTTGGAAAATTGTCGAAGTTGGCATAATCTTTTAATTTTCAAGGTGATGACGAGCTAGTTTTTTTACTACTCCATAATCCTTTTTAATGGTAAAAACCCAATAAATCCTAGAAAATTCCTCTTTTCATCAATAATATGTTGCTTCAAAGGTTAATATTTTCAGCGTTTAAGCTATAAACTAATTCTTTTCCAGTAGAGGTAGAGGTCCTTTTATTTCAAGTTGATCAACTTAGTTTTTCCAGGAAAATCGTGATCAGTGTCTTATTTTGATGCAGAAAGATCCGGACCCTGAAATTATCTGATCTGAGAACTTTTTGAACATTTAGTGGTGCAGATGTCACTAACCCCAATCAGGTTCCTGTTTTAGTTTTTCAGTAGTTCCCTTCTCGTACCTAATTTTTGGGCATTCTGGAATGTCTTGGAGACTATGCCCTTGCTCACTTTCCTTAACTGGCCTATGCCATATGCGGGTAGGGTTTAATTGTGTCGATACTAACTATGCGACCAATCATCATATTGCAAATAGGCAAGAATGGGTTTACTTTGAATTTTCAGTAGTCAACCCGGAGTTGAGTGGGCACGCGCCATACCTCCGCCAAGGTGAACATTCACATTGGAACCCATATCCCATTGTCAAGCAAATATTTATGAAAATGTATAGCACTTGACTATACTTTTTTCTGACAAGGAACTTCTTGTTACGAAAGGAATGAGAACCTAGAGCCTGCAACTTTGACGTTATTCTCTTTCTCATGGGCACCAGTTTGCCTCCGTTGGTAATATTCCTGACCTCATTAGGCACAGATAGAATGTTTGTGATCATGTTTGCTTTGTTAATGCTCTCTAATTTTAACCGCAACGCTTGTAGATCTTCCGGACTCTGATGAGCACCATCAACAAGAGTCAAAGTGTCAAAAGTTGCCAGGAAGAGATGCGGGCCTGCGGCCTCTTGAACAGTCTCTGGAAGGTGGTTATGGCAGGCAGAGTGCCGGCGGAACTGCTGACTGAAACTCTCTATAGTCTGGGTGAAATAATACGCGGTTGTCCAACTAATCAGGAGGCAGTGGTTGCCATGGTTGCACCCTCCGAGCCACCTCAGCCCGCTATTACCGTTCTTCTTGTCACCATGGTCAATGAGCGTCAACAACTCGCTGTCCGGTTGGCTGTGCTCTATTGTTTCCAGTGTCTTCTTGCGGACAATAGCGAGATCCAGACCACTGTGGTTTCGACTCTCCTACCAAAACATTCTGAACGTAAGGCATCCTGTCTCTTGGTGGTGATCTTTCGTTTATTTTGTCGAATTATTCATATTCCTTTTCCGGTAGTGACAGTACAGGTGCTGCTTGGTTTCTTTACGAAGGAAATTTTTATTTAAAGTACTAGAGCTAAATTCTCAACGTTAAAAACAAGCCTCCTGGATTTTTCACCTACCTATTACTTTCTCAACATTTTTGGTATTGCCTTGCTCTGTCCACAAGGATAGTTTCCTGTGTTTGTACTGAGTAAGCTTTTCAGCCAGTCAGGCGCGAGGCATGCAGTACTTCCAGATTTTATGATTAGTTATTTCCGTGCTACTGAATTTAGCGTTCCAGTGTCTTCCAAATGCCTATCTATAAAATCGACGCTGTACTATCCGCTGCTTGTTTTCTGAGCATTAGTTTCTCTTTCAGTGTTTAATGCTTTGTATTTACCAAACTACTTTGAACACAGTAAACATTGGCATTCTTTATCCCTGTGAACAAGCTGTGCAACCTAAGGCATTGCTTTTACTGCCAAAACCATTGCTCCACAGAGTTTGGACTTGAAATTTATCGGCTGAGCGGTTTCCTCAACTGTCAGTACAATTTGTGAACACAAAGCCTATTTGGTTTCAGTGTAAATTTGTTTTTCTGTGGTGATTCCATTGAATTTACAGATAACTATCATCCTTGTTACTATTTTCGCCAGATCTGATAAGCCCTACTCGGTGGTGTTGTGAACGAACCACTCTTCGTGTCGTTTTAAAAGCTTATTTCAAGCCATACAGAGGAATATAATTCTCGTGCATACAATTTTTTTAATAGGCCTCCTAAATATTTTGTAATTCTAGACCTGATTTTTCTTTCGCAGAGCACCAATTTTATTGATAGTTATGCGAATTTAAGTATGAGCTGATCATAATATTTGCTAACAAGTCATTAAATTTTTCTCCGGCATTCTTCTAGGCATTCGTGACATTGATAGGTATTTTGTTGTGCCATGATTTGATTTGGTGTCAATGTGCTTTTAAATTTTGGATTCCGCTTTATTTGCTAATTTGCAATGAGAACATGATTAGTCCTTGCGCATACAGATGGTGTATCGATGTAAATGAAAAAGCTTATCGCGAAAATTGTCATTGTAAGACGTCCGAGTTGCTCCCTAAGGCTCCATGAGACGGAGATTCCTCAAAATTACCTTCATATGATGATAGAGTTAAAGGAGACATTCAACTGGTAGCACTTTGGTAATCGTAAATGGTTGTGCTTCTGTTCCCTTAGCTGCATGCGTGATGAGTGCGGGGCAATTGCTATGCGGTGGTCTCTTCTCGCAGGATGCCCTCTCAGCCTGGTTCTCGGCTATCGCACTCTTCCACTCTATTAACCATAACCGCGGGTTGAAGGAGAGCCTCCTCCGCGTCCACATGGCTCCCTCCTCAGGCAGTGGCCCTCCAGTCACTCTCATGCATCAATGCTTTCGTCTCATCTCCCAGGTTTGTTTATTCTATCCCCGTCTTCGATTCACTCGTATAGGGGTAATCTGGAATTGGTGAAATCTCACTTGGTATAAAGGGTAGTAAATTGTTAGTCATGGGAAATCCATAGCACTACCAAAAATAAAGATAAACATTTGTTTGAATCTTTAAACAGCAGTTTGGATTCCGTTATGCAGCATTATTTAATGTTCGTGCCGAAGTGCCGTTTAGAAAGCGCAAGAATCTGTTCTTTTCTCTCTCTACACGAGATAGACCGGGCGTGCTCAAGGTAAGATAGGTCTACTACAGTTCCTCTGTGCCTGGCTCTCACACTGTCCACTGGCAGTGGAGGCCTTCCTTTCTCTTCGTCCTGCCAATCGCCACTCTCAATCGACCACAGCCGCACCGAACAAAAATAACGGCGGCGGCGGTGGCGCTGGTGCCGCTCTCTCGCACCTCATTGCTGATGTGCTTGCAGGCGAGGGCGAGGAAATTGACATTATCAGCTGTCTCTCAGCCCTCCTCATTGGCATCTGTGTGTGCTACAACAACGGTGCTGTTGAGGGCTACGACAGGTAGGCGTGCGTTTGCTCCTACTGTTTGCTTCTACCTTTTCTTGCTTTCATTTTGCTTCTCTTTCAGTGAGTCTCTCATGAAGACGATCGACAAACGCATTGGTGTCGACGATCTAGTCAAACGCATCGGCCAGGTCTATCGCTCGGACGAGTTTGTCCGTGTTATAAAACGTCCCCTATTGGAGGCTGCGAAACCAAATGATTTGGTTTTCGATTATGACTTCACCCGGCTCTTCAAAACTGTTGAGTGTACGTTATCATCTACTGGCTTTTGAAATACTAATAGGCTTGACGATTCGATGGTTAAAATATTTAATGTATATTGAGATGGGGGAGTGATGACAACCTTACGCTCTAGTGAGAGGCATTCTTAGTTGTTGACGAGCCTACTGGCGTGATTTACAGTCGAGGTATGCACGCGCCTTTCCCGATCGAGCGGTCAGACGGAAGAGGGCTCCGGAGTCACCCAGGGTAATGGCCAGGTGGAGTTGTCGGTGGCGGTAGAGGAGGGAGAGGCGAAGCGATGGGCTCACCAACAGGAGATGCTGTTGGCCTATCAGGGGGCTGTGGCCGAACGCGATGCCGCTCTGCAGAGCCTCCAACTACGCGTTATTGAACTTGAGCGTCAACTCTCCTTTGTGCATCAAAACGGCTATCCTGCGGAGAAGCAGGATGAGGCCTCTGCGGTCGCTGGTGAGCGGTTTTTTAGATATCATCTAGTTATTTCATTTCAGTGACTAGTACTTCCTTGGGCGTCTATGGAATGCCCATTCTAGCTAGAGTACCTCGTTATACCTCTGAGTTCTCCATCCTCAATCTAACGTAAATAGGTTGTAACAGTTTTTGAATTACTTCGAGCAGTTTTGTAACTTTATGCAACCCTTCGTGCGATATGTCAAGATCTAAATTTACGTTGCCTACTCCGTTACTTTTTAAAACCCTGGTCTGAGTCGCTCAAGAGTGTTATTAATTTTGGGCCTCTAATTTTTACACTACCTGCTTATCCGATGATCGTCGATTTATTTGTTAATGAAAGCGAGAATTCACGTTGCATTAATCAATTTACTTTTCTCCTTCCTTCCCTTTTTTCTAGCCAATTCGGACCTGCAAGTGGCATTGGTAAGTGTGACCGATTTTCCTGCGGTTCCTCGTGCCTCTACTCCGCCACCTAGTTGTCCAACCTTACCTTTTAGGCCCAAAAATGTGAAAAACTGGAAGCTGCAGAGAAGCGAATTTCAGTAAGTTCTGGCTTTTATCTTCGCGATTTTCACTTGGTTGTTTTGTTGGTTTTCATCGCATAGGTTTATGAATTACTTTTGTTTGTTGATATCATTGATTAGGTATGTGAGGTATGAATTGCTGGTTGAATGATCGGGTTAGTGATGCACATGGGTGATGTGGATCCAAAAGTTTCTCCGACTGTAGCTATTTTTTTCGACATGATTTGGATTGATGACAACTTTCTTTTTTCCAGGAGCTAGAAGACGCTCTCAAAGTTGCTGACACCGAAAAGGCGACCATTAAGTCAGAACACGAGGACCTTCTGCTTCTTTTGAGTGAACAGGATTCCCAGATAAGCCACTTGACTGCGGAATTGGCGAAGCTGTCCACTCAGCCACAGCAGGTATGTTATCAGGGGTCAAAATGTTTAAGTGTTCATTCCCCATTTATTCTAAAGCATAGACATTTAGTCCTTAGCCCACTACACCTATCCATCCATTTCATTATTGTAATTTTTCCGCGCCCAGTCTGCCGTCTGTAGGTTTTACGATTACAGTCACTTTGACTAAGAGGAAGGTGGTATTTGGTTCGTGGTTAGCTTACTCTTCGACTTCCTCTGTCCAGAGCATACATCTTTATTAAACCAACTGTGACGTCGGAATAACTCATCCCATTTGACTTACTTGCTTTGGACTAGTCCAATGGATAATGAGTGAATCAGGCTAGCGTTGCTACTGAAAGGCACTTAGGTGGAAGTATTTGGCAAGTTGAAGAGCTCTTTGATGGAAGTCGAATAAAAAATAGTCCTAAATGGTGCAATCTCTAATTTGTGGCAGTTTGAAGTTTTTCAACGCTTGAGTAGCATTGTCATTCCTCACAGTCGCATTTGACAGTCACCTCTCGATAGATGGTGAAAATGGAAATGACTATTTCAAGATTAGATAATGTTTATAAACCGGGCACGAGTGCCTAATACTTCACCTAAGTGGTAGACAATTCATTCTCTGCTGTCTACTGATCCCCCAATTGGCGTGCCCGCCTGTTCAAGGTCCCCATTACCGTTTTGAGGTGACTTCCGTAAAGTTCAAAGTGTAACAATACATGCACCCGTCTATTCTGTCCCAGAATCAAACGAAATTGGCATGATTGATGTAAGAATGAAAGTCTATGCTTTGGTTTGTTAAAGTTTGGCAATTTTTGGGGCACAAACGGAAATGGTTAAGTGGTCACGCCCTCGTAAATCCTCAAGTTGTTTGCACGGCGATATGTCGCATGCATTGCGTGGTACTCTGAACGGCATAAGTATAATATGGCAGGTACTGGAAAGCCTTCATTGAGTACTTTTGAAGCTTTCCTGACTAGTGGCGTTGCTGCTTAGGTGCGTATAACACCTGCCAAATGAATCGCTACTTGCTTTCACAATACGAGTATGAGGCAGCTCGTTGCCACCACTAACACACTACAACCTGACCACTTCAGACCCCTCAACGACTGGTAGCGTCTTCAGCAGCTCCACAGCCGCTGCAGCAACAGTCACAAGCACCAACTGCGCAGACCATGGCTTCTCCTCAGCATTCTGCAGATGTGTCACGGTATCCACCAGGTGTTGACCAACAAGCCCACTCCTACGAGTACCTTCCCGACAAACAGCAAACTTTCGGGTATCAACCTCAGATAGCTTCCCAGTCGAAGGCACTGCCACCGTTGCTACCACCTATTCCTTTCTACCACCCTACTGTCCCCACCAGTGGAGAACAAGGTCGCCTCACCTTCGGTCAATCCTAGTCATCCTCACCCACGTGCTGTGTATAGTCTTGTTCTCTCCTTCTTTTACTCCTCTCCGCTTACTTTCTTTTCTCTGCGTGTGATTTAAATAACGCAATGAATGTACCCGTGTTCTTGTATTATTTGAGGAGTTTGTATCTCCTGCTCCCTTTCGTTTGTTGTCGTTTTAGCTAGAATTTGATGATTTTGTTTGAAGTGGTTAACGAGAAGTGTACAGGTGCTAAAAGTTAATTACTCCTTCGTCACTGAAATTCGTTCGGCTTTACAAAAGGGACGGTCAGGGGGGAGGGGGTGGGCACTCTTCGACAGGAACTTTTTCCCCTATTGCATTAAATAGCTGTCTGGATGTGGTTTTAGCCCTTTGGTGTGCGTGGCGAGTATTGGCTGGTTTGTTGTTCCGCTGGATAGACGCACTCGGGTGGAGCCTACTCGCAGGCCAACTTTCCGGCCAATGAGGATATGGCGATGCCGAAGGCCTGCAGCGCTGTCAATGGGTATGTGTAGTCCATTGTGAAGATGTCGCTAGCAACGCGTCCGAATTGCATGAGGATAGTCGACTCTTGGATTAGAAGAAAGGTTGAGTTACAATGCCAGAAGGTAATGTCAACAAAAGTATATTCCTAGCCACTTCAACCTCTGTTCCCCATCTTGGTAATTCGTGGTAGCATAAAAGTGCATTCCTGATACAGCCTTAAATGATGCCCATAGTGAGAACCGATCTTTTGAGGGAGGATGCTTTAATATGACTACTCTTAAGGCTAAGTTGGGTGTACAGCGACGGGACAATTGACAAGCCTGACACTAGTTGAGCTGGAGTGCACAATTCTGCTGCAATTGCCTACGAAGTAACCGTAGCAGCTTAAATCAGTGGGGGAATTTTCATGCATTAAGACTGGGATGAATATGGGAAAGAAATTCGTTTGTTGAAACCTGAAAAAAAACATTGACCAGCTCTGTGTATAACACCACCCATGTCAATTTAACACTGACCTAGGTAAGAAATCTCCGCGACCTTGGGTGGTTCGTCACTCGCATCAAGTTAGGTGGTGTCCCTGATAGCTTGACTTGAGAATATGTTTATTAAAAACAGTAGATGGTGGAAAGCGTTTAAGTACTATGGTAGTACCAACAGACAGATCGTCATACAGAACTTTTCGAGGCCAAAGTCTCTCGTCACAACATTAATATTAATCCATCTAGGAACGCTCTTCCATGAATCTAATTAAAGTTGACATTTCAACGATAATATGCAAAATCACCATGCTTTCGGGCGGATGTTTTCACTCTCCTTTTTAAGTATTAAAAGGCTTCTTACTGTAGAATAAGTAGATGTAGTTAAACTACGCATAACAAGTGTAAGAGCAAAATCTTACTTCTTTTGAAATAACTGAGCTATTATGCATTTTCTACTCCCACATCAAGTTGAACCGTCGCTACTCGAATGCACAACCCGCCGCTCTCTTGTGTAGCATGTAATGTGCTGTAAGGAGTAAAAGTGGGTACCCCCAGTAAACTAGATACCTAGAGGTATGGGGACAAAACGTTTAACACACTAATCAATCATCTCAAAACTTCATTTGATCTCAACGGCATCGATGGGATTGGGTTGGAATCCGATTGCTATTGAATGAACGCGCAATGTGCCAAGGTCACCCAAAAGTTCACCTATGCAAATAGTACTTGGAACAGAATAAGTCTGTGTGACACTGATAGCATGCCACCATCGGTAAAGTACAATTTGAGTTGGACTGATCACTATTATTCCTCGTGTGGGAAATATCATAGCCTCTTATAGGCACAAAAGTGGTGGTAAAGACAGCATACCCATTAGCCTTACCATCACCATTGTCTATCAGTTGGAAGTTTTTGACCGATGCCTGGGTCACACGACCGTGGAAGTTGAGCACGTAGGACTGCGTTTCTATACGGCAAAAACAAACGACATTAGTTTTGCCGAAGTGGTAAATGCAAGCGAATGAGGAGACATTTAGGATAAATCCCCCCTATAAACAATGTAATTACTTTTGTACATACAATCGGATAAAATTAACATGGCCAATAAAGCCAATGGATTGATTAGACATGATAAGAGATGCATCAAATCTTTCGGTAACGTCTAGGATTAGGGTATAAATAAGGATTTCGATGTTGCTGAAACATAAAGATGAATAAACACCCTAAAGCCCTCATGACAAATTACTTGCTTCGTCATTTATCCCCCACCCAAAGAAGACTTGACACTAACAAGTTTAAGTGGGTGACATTACCTTCATTCCACATGGGCTTCTTGTTGTGCAGTTCTATGATACCTGAGAGAGCGCTTCTTGATTCCGAACCCCCAATAGCACATTTTGACGGCTAAATCAACAAATTCAACTGTTCATCACTTTGATTACAAGTGGTAAGTCAAGTGACAAAAAACTCGCCTCATTAGCTGCTTTGGGGTCGACAGCATCCTTCACAGGAGGCATAAGCACTGTCATTTTTCGTGGACCCTTGAACCCCAGAATATTTGGCTCCTAAAATAGTAAAAAAAGGATTAGGCACAAATCTAGGCGGTAAATTGCTTGTTAAGAGCCTCTGACTTACGTCGACCAATTTTTTGAGTAATAATGACAACTTCAAATAACTGGTTGACATCAATGAACTTTTTGACTAGATTTTCCTGAAGATTCGCCTGCATTCGACCCAACAAGCAGAGATCAAAATGCAAAAAAATTCACATTTAAGGAGGTTATTATGAAAGTCCATTACTTGACTGCAGCTACACTACTGAGACGTGAGGAGAGATGCTATCAGGCTTACATAGCTAATAGTAGCGATTTCTTTGGACCAGTCACCACCGGCGAGTTCGACATCGGGATGACCAGTGGAGGTATGCAGACCAGCGTATTTTCTACGGCTAGAGAGGAGGACGAACTGAGTGCCGAGGAAGTTAGAGCGTAGATGGCCGACGTTTAACCTGCCATCACCGGGTGCGTCGAGAGGGGAGGAGGTGGTGGTGGAGGGGGCAGTGGCGTCGAGGGAGATTAGATAGTTGCAGGTCGTGGCACGGCGCTTTCGACGAGCTGCGAGCAGGAAGAATCGGCGACCGTCCTCCTGTCGCTCCAGGTGGAGAAAGTAGCTGGGGAAGAGACCGCCCTCTAAGCCGTGCTTGTCTCGACTTATTCGACAGCACACAGTCACACCCTGCTCAGAGGAAAGTGATTGATGGGGAGGAGATTGCTCAAAGCATAAAAAAGATAGTGATAAGGAGTTGCACGAAATTATGGAACGCAGCAAGGATATAAAATCTGGTTAAGACTGCAATCACAAAACGAATCGCTTTGAAGCTTTCCCCTGAAAATTATGCATATTTTCGGCAGCATTTCTGCAAAAAATTTTAAAATTTTACTTTGAATGGCTTAGCAACTCAACTTTAAGGTACCGTGTCTCAAGCGGGATGGTTGTTCAAAGGTGAAGACATCTCTTTCCAGGGTAGTCTCAAGTTGGTTATAAGCAGGCATTTCCTTTAGGCAAAATTATACTTCCATAATAGGTTCATTCTCTTATAAGCTTGTGTTTAACACTGGTTGATTGTTTTTTTTTCAATCAAATATGTTTTCGTTGACCGGAAGGAAACTATCGTAGCCCCGCCTTGCATTAGCTAGCTTATGTAAACGCATAGCTTAGCAACCAGACATTAAGTGACAAGGGCTTTATGGGTTTGACAGGCTTAAAAGTTTATGTCTCATACCCATAAAGGCAGTTCTAGTTCATCTATATTCTGTCTCGAATTTGAGAATGTTATTTCTTATTGTAAATAAAAATTACTACTATGCTTATGGATGCAATATCAAAGCTACTCATTTTGTTTATCAGTAGCACTGTTCAGAAAACCGATTGGTTAATACAAATCGTTATCTCATATTTCATTAAGGATTTTAATAAAATTAGAATTAAAAATGACGCAGTCGTCATTAATTGGTCATTAAGATGATTCACCTTTGGGGCTGGGGTTGTAATAAACTCCTCGACATCATCTCCAGCGCTGAAGATGCGAGTTATTGTCGATTTGATTGACGCATCTTGAACTAGGTCATCCTAAAAAAAGAGAGTAATGGTGAGGATGCCCAGGTACAAAAGCGGAATTGAAGTTGTGCAACGTTCAGTGAAGAAAACATGAAAAGTGTGAAAACTGGATGCGACAGAAGACGCAGGTGTAGCAACCCACTTTTAATGAAACCACCTTCTCTTTTCCCTTTGAACCTGTTCTCTTGATAGGAGATGCGACTTCCTTCCTATCTACCCTGCTTCGTGCACTAAGAACCGGCGAGGTGAGGTGTTTGGCTGGACTTTTTTGTTCCACCCTCTCTGCTCGAGGGGTCTTCAATTCCTCCCCGAGATTGCTCGCCACAGCGGCATCACGGACATGAGCGGGTCTGCGAGGGGAGCGAGGCTTACTAGATCGACTTTTCTCGAGGATGTCTTGAGACACAACACCAACTCTCTTGCACTCATTGTCATCCGTTGAACCCACTCCATCATGTTTACGGACACGTCTGTGTTTCTGCGAGAAATCAATCTTTGTTTAAATACATTTTGATGATAAGACAGAGCATTCTTCTCGTGCAAGTAAGCTGCTTCAAGTCTTGCCACCCAATTACTCTCTGTTAAACAACTTTTGCTAAGTGGTTGAGGAAACGTTCAGAAGCCAGCCAAAGTGCTGATCCGAGAAGACTGTGAAGTGGACAAAATGGCTCTTTTAGAAGTGCAACGCTAGTAGAAGCAAAAGTGTAAACATTAATTATTTATATCTGGCATCTGACATGTCCTATCAAATCCCAGAAGAAAATGTGCTGATGGTTCATACGAATGCAGGTGGTTTAGCGAGAGGAAGGCTATAAAACTAACCGTGAGCAGGTAGTCAGTGGATCGGGACAATTCTTGAGGCAGCAGCCT